TGCAGGCCCCAGCCCGGCTGCTCCCATCCTGCCCCCTGAGGAGCCATTACCCTGGCGACAAGGTGTGGCCCTCTGCCTGGGAGAGCCACAGGGTGTCCTGGGGACATGGGACTGGGTCAGGCACCCAGGGGCCCCCACCTGCCTCAGGTGCACCGGGCCTCTGAGCCTGGTCCCAGCCCCACCCCTGCTGGTCACCCCTCAGAGGGTCTCCCCCAGTCAGAGGGAAAAATGGAGGATAAGGAGGGGGTGGGAGCCCCTGAGGCCTGTGCAGTCACCCTGGTGGGCAGAGCCATGCCTGTCCCCGTCCCTTTGAGGGGGCTCCAGCCACCAGGTCCCCAGCAGCCTCTGCTCTTCCTCCTCGGGCTGTGGCCACACTGTGTGCCCGGAGGGCCCCTGCACTGCCCGTCCTCCCCCAGGCAGTGCTAGATAGTCAGGGAGCACTGCCTGGGCCGGCCAGGATCAGGGTCCGGGGTGTCCACGCTTGCTCCTGCAGCACGTGGGGACGTGGGGCGCTTTCCTTCCATGGAGGCCCGGAGCCCCCAGTAGTCCTGCAGGTGGCAGGGCTGCGGCTGTGGGGGGCCCTCCCTCACCCTAACAAGAGGGGCTCTTGAGCCATGGTCCAGGGATCTAAGCCCCAGGAGGGCTCTCCTGGACCCCTGGCACCTCTCAGGGCCCCGAGGTGGCCAGCACAGGGGGACACCTGGCCTGACCCCACCCCTGTAGGCATGTTCCCTGGCACAGGCCCTGGCAGCTCAGGTGGCAGACTTGGCCAACGTGGAGGTGCTATGCCCAGGGTGTGAGTGTGCGTGAGCTGGCCTGCCTGTCCCCGGGAGTGTGCGTTATTGTGCGTCCCGTAGCCATGTGGCTGTGGGTGTGTTGGGTCGTGTCTGCCTTGCACTGTGGTCGTCCCCGGGTGGGGGAGTGGGAGGTGATGGCAAGCTGGCCAGACCTACACTCATCCCTGGCTGCCACCCACAGGTGCCCCTGAAGGTGAGCCTGAGCACTGGCCACTCCTGGGGACACCTGGTGCCACTGCAGGAGGCCCCGCCTCGGCCACGCCCCCATCCTGCCACGTCTCCACGCAATCGCCTGGCCAGACCGCACCTGCCGTCTTCCCCTGCGTTTCATCCGTAGCCCCAGCGACAGCGGGGGCAGAATTGGCTCCCCAGCCCCTGGGTGGCCTCCCCGAGGCCAGAGCTGGTGTCTGCTGGCTGGTGGCTGGAGCAGGACATGGCCTGGCCAAGTGCACCCTCTGGGTCCTCACCCGAGTAAACGCCGTCCACAAAGCTGTCCTCGTCCATTGTCGTGACTTCCCGTGGGTGGGAAGTGCCCGGGCCGGGGCTGAGCGCCCCACCTGAGCCGCCGGCCGGCCGGTCCCCACACGCCGCAGGCCGGTGACCAGCCCTGGGAGCAGCTGGCTCCCTGCCTGGGCCGTTCTTCCCCGGTGCCAAGGGAAGGGCCCAGCTGTGCACCCCAAAGCCTCGCAGCAGATGGTGACAGGCACCAGCATGCCCTGCACCGTGGGGAAACCGAGGCACCGGAAGGTTACACCACTGTAATGCACACAGGGCTGCTTCTGTGGCGGCCCCTGAGAGTGTGTTCCAGGTCCTCCCACCAGCTTCCGGGTCTGGATCTGGGCTCCGACTGGGCCTGTGGCACCTGTCAGGGCGGGGGAGCATGTTGATGCACCCACTGGGCCCAGGAGCTCCTGCCCCCGGGGCCTGGCTGCTCCTGCTGACACGCGGCTGGGTTCTGTGCTGCCTTCACGGAGCCCTCGGCATGCACCGTCCTTGGGAGCCCTGGTCACCAGGTCCCAGGCCCAGACCCCCTTCTCTCATTCGGGGCTGAGCCTGGCCCCGCCCGCAGCCCGCAGCCCGCAGCGCAGCCCGCAGCCCGCAGCCCGCAGCCTGGACATCTTTACTGTGCTGTCACCTCAGAGCACGCCCTCCAGGGGCTTCACAGGGGCCATCTGGCCCAAACACATGAACAGCCTGGAAACTGACCCCGCAGCCTGGCCTGTGCACCCAAGGGCCCCAGGCTGAGGGCAGACGCCTCGGGAGGGAGGTGGGGAGCTGTCTGGGGCAGGCTGGCCGGGTCCCCATCAACAAAGCCAGGGCCCATCCTGAACCTCTCCTCGCTCTTGTCACCACCTGGACCCCCAGCCCCTCCTGTCAGCCCCACTGCCACCCCCAGGCCTACAGGGAGTGCCCCGCGGAGGGTGCCAGACGGACAGGGCATGTCAGCCCACAGGCTCCCCCGAGTCTCCAGGAAACCAGCCCTTCCCGCCTGCGCCAGGCTGGGGCCGCCTCAAGAAAGCACGGAGGCCGATTCCGTCAGCTCTGGTTTTATTGAAAAACAGCAGCATCGGGGCGCGCAGGTCGAAGGGCCACCCCCACACCCTCCTGCTGCTCACATACCCACAGGAGCAGGGACCCTGCCCCCCGGCCGCAGCCTGTCCCTCTGGAGCTCAGCTCGCCACTGCCCTGGGCCCTCCTGGGGGTGGTTTGGCACATCCTGGGGTCTCAGGAGTCACCCAGTCGTGGGCTCACAACAGTAAGCCAGGCACCGGACAGGCTCCGGGCCCACCGGCCAGACGCGGCGTCCATGCCAGCCGTGGCCAACAGCCAGGCGAGGTGACTCCACCTCACCAAGTCTGACCTCAGCCACCCTCCCCACACGCCCAGACCCAGGCAGAGCCTCGTCTGGGTCATGCCACCTCCATGCCCAGCCGCCCGGCACCCCCGCTGGGAAGGAGCGCCCCACTCGCACCTCCCGGCCTCCCTGCCCCGGCTCCCTCCATCACCACACGTGCCCGAGTGCACAGGGGTACACACACTCGTGTGCACACGCCGGCACCCCTTCTCCCAAAGGGCTAATTATTGCTGTTTAAAAACCACCCAGCAGCTCCAGCCACACCCATGGGCGTGTCCTGGGCATCCAGGAGCCCACCTCCCAGGCCGCCCTTCCCAGCCCAGACCTGACCCCAAAGCCTCCTGGGAAGGCCCCAGCACAGAACACAGCACGGAGCCAGAACTGACACAGAAGTCGCATCAAACCGACGCAGCGACGCCGCCCGCCTGGCGGGACACGGACAGGAAGGGGTTCCAGCCCCCCCAGGCGGCCGCCCCACAGGCACGCAGATCGCCAACCTGCCACGGCCAGAACCAGCCCCGTGGCCCCCACCCTCCCTCCAAGGGGCTTCTCAGAGGAAAGACCTGCAGAGCCGGAGGGGCCAGCAAGGACCCCTGGCCTCAGGCCGCCTGTGGCAGGGCCTCCAGCCCACACCTTCCCGCAGGGCAGGCCTCACCCTCCAGGCAGCATCCCTGCCCTCCGCCCTCTCCTCCCGGCTGCACTGGGAGGCCAAGCCGGACACGTGGGGGTGAAACGGGAGAGGCCACATGGCGCTCAGCACCTGCAGACCACCGACCCGGGGGGCCTGCTGGGCAGTGGGAGCTGCCCTGGGGATGGCCACCAGACACATGCCAAGACCCTGGTGGCGCCAGGCCAGGCCCAGGAGCCCTCAACTGCCCTGGATCCCACTGCCTGGAGGTGCCCAGCTAACGAACATTCCAGAACACGCTGCCTCCTGCTCTCTGCTCCCAAACAGGTTTCCAAACAGGGGTCCTGGGCGCCCCGACCCCTGAGCAACCCCTGGCTCGGCTCACTCTTCCGGAGCCTCAGTGGGTGCCCCCGGGGCCCGCAGGGAGAAGGGCCCAGGCTGCCAGGGCCCATGGAGAAGCTAGAGACTCATCACTGAGCGGCCTGGGGAGGACGCTTCAGAGGTAGAAGAGGTAAAGTCAGGATTTCTACAAACATATAAAATTCACATCTCAGGGCATGTTCTGGAGCAGCTGGCGCCCAGGCTGGAGGGAAGCAGCAGCCCGGGCAGCCCCTGCAGGGGGGTCCCGCTCCCGCCAGCGGGCGGCTGGGGGGTCTGTCCCTGTGGACCTCAGGATCTGCCAAGCAGCACTGCCCTGGCGAGGGCCTGTCCGGGCGCAGGGCACACCCGGCTGGGG